TTTTTTCCTCAAGAAATTTTCTTTGCAATGCATTTTCTATTGCTATTTTTGTGCTTTTGTTTATCCATAGGCCATCATTAATTTGTCATATTTGCTTCTAGTATAAATGAAATTTTCTTAGACCTATAGTTTCAAACGCCATAAAGAAGAACTTTGTTTGTTGTTTCACTTGTCCAATTTGTAAATTTTCAATATGCACATGACCCTGACACATATTTTGTAAACGTTATATATGACGTATGTTGAAAAAGAAAACAATGTCACCGTCAATTTGTGTAGGGGATCAAAAAGGGGTTTAATTGCTTTAAAATGGAGATATCGTATGGAATTGTGAAAAACAACAATTTTTAATCACGATTTCATTCATATCTATAATAAAATGAGTATTTTAGAGTACTTTGGAAACAGGTACAATGAAAAGAAGTTGAACTTTACTGTTTTGAAGTAGAAACGCAGCCAAAACCAGGTACAAATTGACATGACTGGTGGTCACCAAAATTGATGTATAATAGTAAAAAATTATGGCTTCATAATTGTGTAGAAATTTGAAATAGGTTACCCGGGTTCATTTAAGATTTTTAACGTTCTATTCCGTATTTGGATACGCAAACGTCAAGTTATATAAATTCGATGTTTTTGGCGAACAAAAAAGATGGCTGATCATTTTTAGAACGGACAGGGTAAAGTAACAGCAAATAAAAGTTATTTTCGACAATGTTTCAATGTCGTATTGAAACTGTATTGTTCACAAAATCTACAAACTTTAAAAATCAATTATAATAAAAGCATGACAAGTTGAAAAAAATAGTTTAAACGTCGATTTTTTAGCCGATTTATTTCGCGGACTTTTTGACGTCACCGACGACTGTAGCGCCACCTAATTAATTCCCCCTGCTATTGTTGCTGATAGAGCTTGACGACAACGGACGTTTCCAAGGACTTGCTTTCCAACTGTTAATTTAGCATTGGACATGTAAGCCGTAAATCAAATAAGTTCGATACACTCGGGTTTTTAAATTTTAAATTTATAGAGGGAGAAACCAAAGTGAATCAAACTTTTCACATGTCAACTTTGGCACTGTTAGTTTCGGATTAAAAAATTTTTTTTTGATCAGACCTAATAGATCGACATTGTTTACCTGACAATGGGTCTGACATGATAATTATGTCGGAAGGTCAGATGATTTTACAACAGCTTTTGTTTTGAATAAATTCCAGATGGATATTGATAGTTTAGGCAGATTTCGGCAATATTTAACGTACCAAATGTTCTGATGAGAAAGAGAAAAAATAATCGGATTAAACACGTTCTCATCTAAAATTAGAAATTCTCATTAACGGTCATTTGCCATAATTCGTACTCAAATAGGTCGATTTTTCGCTCATAAGACAAACTTGTGCAAAAACGAGAAAAATAAAAGAAAAACACGTTTTTCTTTTTATCAAGCACTTGGAAATCGTGAATCTGACATATTGAACACCTGGTGTATGCTGAACTGAATTGTAATAAATTAACTTGCATTTCTCAGGCCTGTATGCCAGCATACGAACCTGGTGTATGCTAAAGTCTACATTTGATTTATACATTGTATTTCTCAGGTCTGTATGCCTGCATACGAACCTGGTGTATGTTAAAGTATACATTTAATTTATGTATACATTGTATTTCTCAGGTCTGTATGCCTGCATACGAACCTGGTGTATGCAGAACGGCAAATATTGAATCAAATGTTGTATTTCGCAGGTCTGTATGCTAGCATACGAACCTGGGTGTTTCCAAAAAATCCTTTACTTCAGTAGTTGTGTTTTAACGCTGATTTCGATTTTTTTTAAAACTAAAAGCCTACCACTGACCTCTATATTTTCTCCCGATAGGTAAACAGAAAAGCGTTAATTTGCAAGGCAAACCGGTATTTTTAAAGCGTTTACTGTTGTAAATCTAAAAATGAAAACCGATTCTCAAGTTCCACGACTATGATCACTTTATTGACATGACAGTTATCTGTTTTTTGCAAATTAAAATTACGGAAAAATGAGGCGATCATAATTTGTACAAGGTTCCAAGTTGTTGACAAAATTTTAAATGACGTCAGGGACCTTCTGACGTAAGGCGGAGGGAATTATAGACGGATAGCACTTGACTTACGCGAGTTACTTTTTACCAGTACACTTAATTAAAATAATAGCAATTGATTACAAAACAAAATGTTTTTTTTATACTTTGTATTGGTAAATGATAAAAAGTCAAAGAACAAATGGACTATTTATCTGCGTTGAATTACCTAATAACACCTTATGTCACGCACTCCTATATGACGTCATTTACAAATGTAAACAATGTGAATGATCAATGAAGGAGTTCCCGTAACGGAGAAGAAAATGGACAATTCATTGAAAAATACGCTCTATTATCTAAATTTTAATATACCAGAAGCAAAACAGAATGTCAGATACATTTACGGTAAGTAAACCTAGCTGTTTTTGTACATTTTCCACGAATTTCATAGAACACCCTCTGTTTTTAGAAGTGACTGACTGATTTAATCCGGCTTGAAAACTATAATACAAGATTATTGATTACGCTAAGTTTGTTTTCTCAAGAGGTTTGTTCACTTCAATCAATTTCATGCTAGACATCATGTGGCGAAATTTACTGCTGTTTTACTATCAAGCTACCCCCCCCCCCCCCCCCCCCCAAAAAAAAAATAGCCTTGCAAGACGTCATAAGTATTTGGACTACCTATCCAGATTTTCAAAATGCATGGCCAATGCCCTTCAGTTAACCCATTCAGGTCTTATTCTAACAACTTTTAGGGAAACAAAAGTCCAAGGTAAAAAGGGGGGGGGGGTGAGCGCTCACATGTTAAAACCGGCCACACTAGTCTTTATGTGCCTGTCCCAAGTCAGGATCCTGTAGTTGAAGTTGTCATTGGTTCATGTATGTCGTATTTCTTTTTCGTAAATTATTTTGCTATAAATTATTGTTTCTTATTTTTCATGTTGGGTCCTTTTATCATCTGACTATACAGTATAGGTTTTTCTCATTGTTGAAGTCCGTACAGTTGCCTATACTTGCTTACATCCACTTCATTTGGACTTTGGTGGATAGTTGTCTCATTTGCAATCATCCCACATCTCCTTATTTTTACAAGGAGGTTGTATGATGTGTCCTTGTTTTGGAAAACTGCACAGTACATTTGTCACATGATCACTGCAGCATTCTGTGATGTGTGTATGTAAGAAGCTGTTACTGTAACAGGGTAATATGAAAAGCTATCAACAAAATCGAAAGACAGACAGAAAATTTTAAAATTTCGTGAGCAATAAAAAACAAAAAAAGAAGTAATTCAAACAAAGTAAACATACATTTATTGCGAAAGGATCAGAACAGCACATTTCAAGAGTGTTCAAATTAGAAAAATGAATGTTTATAAGGAAATGACATATTTCATTGATCTTCAATCAGATGCATGGCGACAAAAATACTTTCAAGGGAACGACAATTCAACCACTAAGAACCCTTAGTTCATATAAATTCTAAAATCAGTAATTGTGATAATGTTAAAGTTGTGAAGTGTATAATATTCACACATATATATAATATGTATATAATATGTAGTTTCCATTTCTCGTTTCAGCATTTTTCAAACAGTGGCTATACCTTTCATGTAACTATTTATGTGTTGCTTATGAATTGAATTGTAACACTTCTTAGTGACTGGATAGGTTAAACCAATGCCTTCCTAGAAAACTACGACATCAATGAACAACACCTGACATTTTGCTGTTCCTGCTAATAAAGTAAAAATGGCTTCACTAGAAAAGGACGACACCTAGAACATGTAGAAAAAGCATCAATTCTTTGGCTTTCCTGATTGAAGGATTTATTTTTACAACTCCAGTGTATAATATGCCATTATAAACAATTTTTACCATAGTATAATGCTATAAATTCACTAATTTTCATATCTATTAGCTAATCCAGTTAGATATCGACTTATGATATGCAGTGAAGACAGATCATTGCAAATTGTTTACATTACCGATAATTAAAATACATGTATGCATGTTTGGCATACATCTTTGTAAAGCAAATTGTATACAGACATCCCCCTAAAAGCATTAAAAAAAACCCAAGAACTTTGGCATACACCATGTTGACAGGCAGAGATGCAAACACAATGACTTAAACACTTTGCTGTATCACTGTCTATTTAGTATGCATATTGCCAACTATATCAGATTTTAAGACAGTTTCATTTTCTCTCCATCAATTTCTAACCAAGAGTTCCAAATGGTGAAGTTGAAATCATCCCTTCGAAAATTATACGGACGCCATCACGAGTTGGTTGACCGTTATGGAATAACCGTTTCACAGATGATATCGGATATGTTTCTTACGTCGTAACTACAATCCCCTTCCCTTTTCATGAATGTGACTTACCGAATAAGACTATTTACCGGGTTTGTAATAGCATGAGCAACACGACGGGTGCCACATGTGGAGCAGGATCTGCTTACCCTTCCGGAGCACCTGAGATCACCCCCAGTTTTTGGTGGGGTTCGTGTTGCTCAGACTTTAGTTTTCTATGTTGTTTCTTGTGTACTATTAATATTTGTCTGTTTGTCTTTTTCTTGCCATGGTGTTGTCAGTTTATTTTCGATTTATGAGTTTGACTGTTCCTCTGGTATCTTTCGCCCCTCTTGACACAATGCTTGAAGTTACTAACTTAGAGCATGATGAAAAATAATAGTTTTACAATTTAAAATATGAATACATGTACAACATACAGCTGGTTAGAATGCAAACCATTCAGCTTGCTAAATATCCATTAAGTGCCACAAAATATGCAGAAATTTTAGACTGGAGGCAAACCCTACACAAATACACTAGCTCAATGAACACCAGCTTGGTTTGACAATACTAAAATGTATGTAAAACTATAATTTAATAGAACATAGGTGGGTATACAGGCAATCAAATCTTGTATATATCCAAGTAAAAAAAAAATAAGTGTTCACCGTACACCAGTGTTGTATGCAAGAATACCGTGAACTGAAAATGTCAAACAAATATGCAAACTTTTATGTTCCAATGTGTATAGGACTATAGGTCGGTATGCCGACAATCAAACCTATGAATTCCATTTTTTTACAAGAGTTTATTGAAAAGCGGGTTGATATACAGGAATAAACCCCTGAGTGTTGCAGTTAAGAATTGAGAGCTTTCTTTCAAATTCAAACGAAGTTGAAGGCTATACATAAGTAATTCCTTACATCGATGTAATTCGGCCTTTGACATGTTTGATGGAGATACATTTGTATGTCTCTTTCAAAATCATACACATCTCCTTATTTTCTATGGGGGGTTGGTTATGCAAACATAAGTAAATAAGAAATGTTACTACACAGTAAATGCTTAGCATTCAGGCAGACAGACTTGCCAATACAAACATGAATCCAGAATAAAATTTAAGAATCCATGCAGGCATGCAAGTACCTGGCAGAAAAATGCCAAAATAAATAATAATTTGAGTCTATATGCAGGCATACAGACCTGACAAATACTAATATACGCAGAAAGTGAGAGTTTAGAATACGCCAGGTCGGTATGCAGGCATACAGACTTGACAAATACTAGTATACGCATACAGTGAGAGTTTAGCACACACCAAGTCAGTATGCTGGCATACAGACCTGACAAATTCTAGTATACATTTGTACACATAGAGTAAGAGTTAAGCATACACCAGGTCGGTATGCAGGCATACAGACCTGACAAATACTAGTATATGAATAGAGTGAGAGTTTAGCATACACCAGGTCGGTATGCTGGCATACTGACCTGACAAATTCTAGTATACACATAGAGTGAGCGTTTAGCATACACCAGGTCGGTATGCAGGCATACAGACCTGACAAATACTAGTATATGAATAGAGTGAGAGTTTAGCATACACCAGGTCGGTATGCTGGCATACCGACCTGACAAATTCTAGTATACACATAGAGTGAGGGTTTAGCATACACCAGGTCGGTATGCTGGCATACAGACCTGACAAATACAAGTAAGAGAAAAAAGACTGAATTTAGCATACTTTTCATTGAAACATCCGAAATAAAGATGGGCAAATGCTATGTTATGTATATATTTCAAAAATGGCATAAAAGTATAACAAAAATGCAGAATGAGTAATTTTTTAAGGTTTATTTGCTTCAACTATTTCCTGGGTGTTGAAATAGTTCATTCTAGCATCATATGAAAAAGGTTTATCATAAAATGATGAAGTTTTGGATTCGTATTTACAAAAAAAGACCACAAATCTTGCAAAAAAATGACAGACAAATATTAATAATGCTATACAGTGACTTTTTAACGCGAAATATATCAATCACCCCAAAAGATGTAGCTTTTTCACACAAAAATCAGTTAAGTGGCATATGAGAATTTCTAATTTTAGATGAGAACGTGTTATTCCCGAGAAAACTGAGTTATTATTGACATGTGGCAACTAAGCATAGATCAGTCGACTTTTCATTGTTATATCAACGACTGAAACGATGGTGTCGATCTTGAAAGTAACTAAAGATTAAAATACCACTCGAAATAAACCCGACCTCTTTCACATGAATTTTTAAGTGATATTAGTTTGTCAATCGGCTGACTGCTCATAATGCAAAATGCAACTCTATCTTAAATTTTGAAAACTAACAAAAAACACCGTTCGATACTTTACTTCACAATGTCAATGAATCACAATAAAAACAATATATCACAAATAGAAGGAGAAAGAATTCCACTTTTCGGGTTTCAATGGTGACATATTTACCCCCCGTAGAAACAAAATGTCTATTGCCTCATACCATGAAAGGCATTAAGGCACTGCCTTTAAAAACTAGTTTAATCCCGCCGCATGTTCAAATGTTTCACCAAACCCAGGAACCTCGCCAGGGGTTATTTTAAGTCAGATCTTAATGGTTTTGTAATTTGGAGAATTTTTTGTAGATGGCATATTGTAAATATACTTGCTTATAATTGCTGTAAATAGGTTGACCTGGACATTTCTTTTGATTGATTTTGTCGATGGAATACTGTCTCACTTAAGTAACCAACATTGCTTTAGACAAATACTTACACTTCAATCCTCAATGACGTGAACGAATTATCATTCTATGTTAAGGTTTCATACATTTTTTAATGCAGTTTATTTTGCTGTTAAATAACATAGCTTGATAATTATACAATTTTTATAAATCGATGACATGCCAAAAAAATAATGAAAAGTTGATATTTTATGAACATTATTATTTTTATTATTACCAATGTTTTAAGCAATCTAGGTTGAATCATTGTACGTAGAATTGTATGCAATAGTAAACAAATTAGTGGGAAAAATAGTAAAAATCATTGATTACAGAAAACAAATGGAGTGTATTGTAAAAATATAGCATGTATTGTAAACATATAGAATGTAAAAAAATATATAGAGTGTATGTTATAGATATTTCATATCTTTTGAATAGTTTTGTGGTGTTTCGTAAATTATACCATAGCTTTTGTTGAAACCCCCGGCAATAACCTCACGAGACGAAGTCGAGTGAGGTTGCCGAGGGGTTTCAACAAAAAACTATGGTATAATTTACGAAACACCACAAAACTAACCAAAATATATGAAATATCTGTTTTAACCTATTGCATATGTTGTTGTTTAAAAATGTATATTTCATATATTTTTGTTTATTAACTTCAAAAATAATTTTGATAAGAATCGGTCAAATTACCCTTTTAGGACCTTACACATTAAGCTCCGCCTACTTTATAAAATACGCACGGGCTTCTGAAACAGCGGGGAAATCAGTTGGACAAGATTTTTCGACAGCGATGGATGCACATCTACATTGGTGACGGGTAACGTTACAGACTAAAAACTGTTGAAGGAATTATATGTTCTGTATGTATATGGACGCAAGATATAGTTTGAAAGATTTCTGGAACCCAGATTTAAAGTTGAACTGCAAAGGGTTAGTTTTTTATTTTATTTTATCAAAATATTTGAAATGTTTTTAAGTTTTTGGTATTAATTTATAATTCTGTGGAAATTTAATTCACAAGAATCTTTCTGAGAGTTTGGATGAATCATTCCATGTTTTAATTTGTACCAGAAGCCCAAGTTGTTCATTTAATTTAATCTAATTAAAAAGGATTTCAAAATGATCACGATTAAAGATCATTAAAAATCACATGTAGACTATAGATAATTTAAACAAAAGTTCACCTTTATTTAGAGTAACCAGACGCTTTCTATTCTTAACGGCCCAACATTATAGTTATTACTTAAGCAAATCGTTAAATTAAGATGTATATAAAATCGGATACGGATCCAGGATTTTGAAAAGGAGGGGGGGGGGGGGGTCTAGCCATCCAATATTTGGAGTAATAAAACGAAATATCTATGCATTTACCATATATAAAGCTTCTTGAAAGGGGCATGCCTTCCCCCTTCCTCCCCCTTAAAAAGCCGCCACGGCAAATTTCAACCTTTACATGTAGCTATACAGTTGATCCTAAGGGACTACAATCCAAGTATACATCTCAATAACCGAAAATCGAATTATATTTTCAAGTATAATATAATAATATATTTATATATACTTTTTTTTTTAAACTTTGTTCTTGAATCGAATTTTCGTTCATTTAAAAATATAGGACAACGGAGTTGGTGTATGTGGGTTCGATTCCCACCCTAGGCATTCATTTATATCGGCTGATGCAAAGCGGGCGGTTTAGCTTAGTGGCCCCTACACTGACTCTGTTGTTCCTATTTAAAAAAATTCAGGCGGCCTCGAATAGGCCTTGCTATCTTCCTTTTTTTCTTTTCGAATACCAAATACAACAAAACCATGGTATAATTGTGAAAATTATACCATAGATAGCTATGGTATAATTTTCGGTTATTGAGATTTATACTCTTGTTGCATTCCCATAGGTTACATTGTACAGCTATAGGTTAATGTAAAAATATAGAATGTTTTGTAAAAATATAGAATGTCTTGTAAAAATATAGAATGTAAAAACAAATATAGAATGTATTATAAAAAGAAATTGTATATTATAGAACTATCTTTTTATCGATCACATTTCAAGTTTCCTTTTGTGCTTCAGACGAATTTTACACCTGTTGTTATGATGAACAAGAATCACAGTTAATGGTTTTGAAAGATAAGCAAGCCTTGTGTGAAGATTTAAAGTATATTCTGTCCGTGCCTGATTTATGCGACATGAAGTTCCTTGTTGGTCCGGAGCAATATCCAATTCACGGACTGAGAGCAATACTAGCATCTAGAAGCAGGTAATGTTTATCACAACTGATAATGCATCATAATACTTCAATATTTATATTTTCAATACATAAATGAATTTCAACCGTTAAATGTTCGGTTTGGGCATATTTTACAATAATTATGATATTAGAACCATTTGATTTTTTTTGTGGTTAATATACTCGACATGGGCAAACGTTACTGGCATAATAAAACCAACAAAACGCATCTTACTTTTCTATGAAAAATATTTCAGTTGAAATTAGATTTATTTGTCAATTGCAGACTGTTCTATTTGATGATTCTTGCCAAAAAAAGGAAATTAAAATACAAGCTTCACAGAAGAAAATAGGATTTAAAAAAAAAAAAAAAAAAAAACTGGAAAAAATTCGCAAACTGCTGACCTCTAAACCGTCATACCAAACTTCAGAATCATCCATTTAAAGAAAGTTGACTATTGTTCTAGAAGAATTTGAACCAAGTGTATTTGAGAGACTGGTACGTTATATTCACTGTGGCATGGTATCAGTCGACGTGTTCTCTGTAGTTGGTAAGTTTTCCTTTTTGAAGTTTCATATATTTGCATATTTCTATAATTTTTTCCAATAAATATCATACGGCTTTTGTACATTGAATCCATCGAAGGAGAAAGCGGCTTTCAAATTTTCAAATGAGAACTTTATATATATATTTAATATTTATTCAAAATTGACTCGAGCAATACAGACATAACTACAGATAGTAGAATTGTCTTCAAATGTATGATATATATAACATACAGACATAACTACGTATACAAATAGAAGAATGGCTCAAGTCAATTTAGAATAAATAATTTGGACATCTTTGAAAGAGAAAAAATCACAAAATTAACGTTTGATAATAGATTTATTTGGGGGAATCGAAAAAAGTGATTTAGATGTATTATTTTAATTTTACTACTATTTTGATAGGACTGCTGAATGCTGCCGAAAAGTTCGAGTTGGTATGCCTGAAGAATGCATGCTGGGAATTTGCTGTTAGTTGTATCCGTCCTGATCTTGTTCACGATCTAATTGCCTCAGCAAATGAATACTCCAATTGTAAATTAACACATGATCTATTCAAAGAGGTAAACTAGAAAAAGATGTTATATTACTTATTATATAAGTTAAGTCAGCCTTTATATACATGTAGTAACTGTTCTTCTCTCTTATATTTGTATTTGTACATGCCATTATTAGTTTAAATTTGAATACTAGTAATAAGTTACTGGCCACAATTCTGACAAAATTTTCTCTTTTCAAACTTTGATTATTTGTATTAAAATTTCCTAAGTGTTTTAATAAAAGACTACGCTTTTCCCCTAAAAAAAAGAAACAATCATACTATCTATATTTTATTTTATGGCTAAAGTTTACCAATATTTTTATTTTCAATTTTGTTTTATCTTTTTATTTCAGATTCAAGAAATATCATTGAACCAGCCAGAGCTGCTTTACTATACACCAAGATCACGACCAATGAACATCCGGGACCATAATGACTACAGACCGAAAAGTTTAACCGACAATGGCCTGTTAATGAGATCTGTGTTGTAAATCTAAGACAAAGTATTTTTGTTTTAATTGTACATAATTATATGATATTGTTATAATTATGATGATTCATATCTTTAAAAAATAAAAGATAAGTGCTAAATTAATAATAATAAACTTTTAAAACCTATTTATTTGTAGTTTCCTTATGAAGTTTCAAGTATACTATATGTATGCCTGTCCCAAGTCAGGAGCCTGTAGTTCAGTAGTTGTCTTTGGTTCATGTCTGTCATATTTGTTTTTCGTAAATTATTTTGTTACGAATTAGGCCGACCGTTTTCTCAATTGAATTGTTTCATATTTTTCATGTCGGGGGCCTTTTATAGCCGACTATACTGTTTGGGTTTTTC